TTCCTGTAGCCTGCAACCAACGACTGATTAATGTAGGGGTCTAAAGGTCTGGCTTCCCTGTCCCAACTTGGGACAACTCTGAAGGGACATCTCAGATCCTGAGCCTCCTCAAAGGTCAGTTGAGTCTTCCTTGAGACCTCACTGCAGCCAAACTCCTCCATCTGCCCTATCCTATTTACTTTCCTTCTACAGGTGTTGATCTCAAGAGCACTCCCTAACAGACTTCCTATATGATAATCTCTGTCGCAGAGATAGCTTCCCAGGAAATCCAACCCCTAACACTGAGACCAGAGTGAGGCTTAATGCATGGTGGGGCTGTGCACAATAGGTAGGACTTGGCAGTAGCAATCTCGTCCACGTTTAAACACCTAAGTGGCTGGTGCTCAGTGGCAGAGGATGCTCCATTGGCTCCACTATCCAACTGCCTCTCAGCACCTCCTCCTCTGGAGCTGTTGGGAATGGGATGAGGAAGAGATTTAGGTGCTTGGGAAAGCTGTTAGGGACAAGGGCTATTCTCAGATAAGCCTTCCTCCCAGCTCCAGGCAATGGCCACTGTGGGAAAGAGTCAGAAAAGCAGTTCTCACTCTTCTTTGTGATTTACACCAGACAGCTCTGGGTGGCCTGGCCCAGCCCCTCCTCCCTGAACAAGAGGGGCCCACAAAACTTCATGGTCTCCCATGCTTTCAGGGTACATCTAGGTCAACTGGCATAACAAAGCTTATTAAGAAAATGTTCTGCATCCTACTTTGATGAGTAGCGTCTGGGGTCTTAAAAGCTTGCAAGCAGCCATCTAAGATGCATCAGTTGGTCCCAACCACCTGGAGTAAGGCAGAAGGAAGAACACCAAAGACACAAGGAAAGTATTAGCCCAAGAGACAGAAAGGGCCACATAAACCAGAGACTTCATCAGCCTGAGACCAGAAGAACTAGCTGGTACCTGGCTACCACCAATGACTGCCCTGACAGGGAACACAGCAGAGAATCCCGGATGAAGCAGGAGAAAGGTGGGGTGCAGAACTCAAATTCTAGTAAGAAGACCAGACTTAATGGTCTGACTGAGACTGGAGGAACCCCGGAAATCATGGCCCCTGGATTCTCTATCAGCCCAGAACGGAAACAATTTCCAAGGCCAACTCTTCAGACAGGGATTGGACTGGACTGTGGGACATAAAGTGATACTTGTGAGGAGTGTGCCTCTTAGCTCAAGTAGACACAAGAGACTAAACGCGCAGCTTCTGTCCAGAGGTGAGATGGGAAGGCAGAGAAGGTTAGGAGCTGGTTGAATGGACATGGGGAATCGGGTGGAAAGGAGGAGTGTGCTGACACAGTATGGGGAAAGCAATTAGAGTCACATAACAATGTATGTATAAATTTTTGTATGGGAAAAAATTTAAAAAAATAAAAAAGAACAAAACTTCATGGTCTCCCCAGCCCTGGGCTTTGGCTTCACTACCTTTGTGGTCTGCTTCTCTAACATCTCAGTTTGCAGCTCTGCTTTCAGTCTTGGAAACCACAAGAAGTCATTTTTTAATCTTCGAAGTTGATTCAAGAGATCCTCTAAACCATCTTCCCCTACAGCCCAGCAGCCACACAACATCAGGGGTCTGATGATACTCCTTCCTTGAAAAACTCTGCCTCCCTCACCCAGCAGTTGGGGAAGAGGTAACTCTGCAGGGCTCTGGTTAGGGCATCAACACTTATTTGTGGGTGACCTTGGGCAGGTCACTTAACCTCAGCTTGCTCATCTGAGAACAGATACACTCCTACCCATGCTTTAAAACCAAACTTGAGGGCTTCAGAAGCACTCCTTACTCCACTCAGATCACAGAGACCGTGAAAATTAAATGAAATAGTGAAGGGGAAGTACTTTGTCAGCTCCTAAGTACCATAAAAAAGATAATGAGCAGAGATCCCTACCGAGGCAGGGAGACCCTTATCTCCTCTTTTTAATGCAACTAGATAAAACACATCAGAAAACAAGAAGAGAGACTGCAGCTTAGAGCATTCTACACCCCTGAAATGGCAGCCCAGGGGGTGAGTAGGGAAGACCTCCAGAAAAGACAGGTGATGGGGCAAGGTGGGGCTGATGTGGCCCCATCAGCTCTAGTTGACTTGTTTACATGCCAAAGTATAGGCCCAGTATTCAGAGCTCTGGATTTTTCTAGATAAGCCAGAAATCTAGGTGGTTTTATTTTGTTTTCTAAATAAGGTCTCCTAACTAGGGTCGTTATGAGTTGGAATCGACTTGATGGCAATGGGTTTTAACTTTATAATATTGCCTACAAATTCAAACTTTTCAAATGTTTTGTTACCTATACATTTAAAACAACAATAAAAAAAAAAAAAACTTCAACAGAATGTTGAATTAAAAAAAAAAAATCAAGTAAAAACAACAAAAACCAAAAAACACTGAGAGCCAAATCCTACATGTCTGGGGACCAAATCAGCTGGCTGCCCTTGGAGGCCTGTGAGTCCACCAACGAAGGGGTCTCCTCCACGACTGCCCTTAGACTGCTCCCATCTCTTCCCCATACTGCTGTGTTTGTTACAGCTACCTTCTCCACCTCTGGTCATGACAAGGTCCACTCAAGTGTCTCCTCTCCCCCCCCCACTTCCCCCTCCCCCCATTTTGGCAGTGCTAACACACTAATTTTGTTGAATTCTCTAACTAGACTTTAAGCTCCTCGAGACCGGGCCTATACACCGTTTTTATCCCTGAACCCCCAGGGAACTTTTATGAAGTTGATGTTTACTACATATTTGTTGAATGCAATTGAATTAAATGTCACTGGCCCAGATCTGCTCATGTACTCTACACTTTCATTACAGGCTCTGGATGTCTCTCTTAGTTTGAGGTCTGCTCGAGTCCCACCTCTTCCAGGCTGACCCCAAAGCCACTATTTCTCTTTCTTTTCCTCTTTCTCCTCTAAAATCAGAACAGTTGCTTTCTCCATCTCTCTGGTAATTAGCACTCAGTATTTAGAAGGCTCTCAAAATATGCTTGTTGAACTCAATAGATATTTAGCTCCTAAGGCTCCACTTTGAATTCATATCTTGGTTTCCCAACTACAGTAACGCAATTCTGGGGCAGGGTCCATGTTCTTCTCATTTTGCATCCCACGCATGACAATGGGAGCAATTGAGACCTGAAATCCAGCCATGAGACCATCCGTGTCAGCCTGGAGAAAGGGTTGCCATGTTCTTACTAGTTAAGGAGGGCTGCCTTTTTGTAATTCTAATTTCTCATAACTTGCATGAAGACACCTTATGTGTTAGTGAAGAACCTGCCTCTCCACCCCTGTGCCTGGCACATGGAAGATGCTCAACACATCTGTCGATTGAGTTCATTCAATTCAGCAAGCATCTACTGAGCACCTACTATGCACAAAGTTTCACCACCATTGAACTGTCCAGGAATGTGGGAAAGATTAGTTTCACAGGAACTCAGCAGTATGCTCACTCAGGTCAGCTTGGAGTTAACTTCCCATTGGAGTGAGCTGGCTTCCTGTTACGTCCTCAAGAATTTTTTATAGCCACATCCTAGACATGACCTGGGAATCTGCTTCTTCTAGAACTGGGACCAAAACCTGTAGGGCCAAGGCCTGCATGTGACTGGATTCTAAGCAGATAAGCAGGAAGGAGAAGCACACAGCAGAATCACCCCCAGTCAGAGATGTACAAAATGAGCTATTCACCATGGCCATAACTGAAGTCCAAGTAATTGATTATGGCTTGGGCCTGGCTCCTGAGAGCCAAGGTCTTGCCCTGTTTCCTCCAGTTTTGAATGCTAACACTCCCCTAGAGGGCCAGAAGTAGGTGGGACACTGAGAGGGTGGGAGCAGTTGTATTTGATGCCCAGTGGGGTGGGATGGAGTGGCTGAGGGAATTGGCAGGGACTGAGGGAGGGAGGCCCAGGAGAGGAAACAATGATGGGTGTGCCACAGCCTCCCAGTCAAGAGGCAGGGTGGTGTTACCATTGCCAAGTTCACTTACTGCCCGTGAGAGTTACTTATACTATACTTTGTCAGCGCCAACCCTTCCCAGCTCATGTGCCAGAAATGCCCTCAACAACAGCCAGCAGATGTTCTGCAGTTTTGCTTCACCCATTTTGTTTGCAGAAGTCACAAAGATCTTAGGTGCCAGAACCCTTCAAACTCTTCCATAGAAACCCTTATAGCAGGAGGAAGTCTTGGGGTAGAACCAGAGGCTAAAAAGTTTCTGTAAAGCTGTATGTTTTATATTAAAAATTAATATGAATTTTGAATTTCATGTTATATCCTATTTATTATATAAAAATAGTTTCTCCCTGTATCTATTGAGTAAAATTATTATCCCAGAAAGTGCCAAGTTTATTTTGTTACCCTGTATATGCCTCCCCCTTGTCCCCTCAAAACACCCAAGAGTACACATTTCCAAGTATGAATCATAAGCTTTTTCTCTTGGTGCAGTGTCCCCAGCCTACTTCCTAGTCTCCTCAGTCCCTATCTGTCCAAACTCTACCTTCAATTCAAGTTCCATCTCCAGATTCCCCTCAGGCTAAAAGTAATCTCTGCCTCTTTTGAACAGCCTCAGGTCTTTTCTGTGAACCTGATCATGTTTCCTCTTAGTATTCTGTGTCTCTGTCTTCTTCTCCTCAAGAACCATTAGCTTCTTGAAAAGAGGGTCTATATCTGATTTTTTCCTGTATCCATCATGGAAACTGTCATTGTGTACTTAATAGGTGTTCAATATACGATGAGCATAGCTTTAGACCTACTCCCCGACTGCCCCTCCCCCTTCCCCCCAGCTCCAGAAAAGGAAGATTTCACACAGGGGCCTGGTTAATGAAAATTCTGCTCCTTGGTGCATTTGTGCTTGGCTGTAAAAGGTCTGGGCCTGGGAAAGGGGGGCAGTATCTTGCCTTCAGTGTCATAACGTATCATTTTATAGCTATGAAGTGTTCTGGTCCAGGATAAGAGGATTCACCCAATGATACAATAGCAAAGAAAACAGGATCTTACCTTAATATTGTCCTCTGGCCAAGAGTTCAGCATTGTTGCAATGTGGCCCTTGTCATGAATGGTGATAAACAGCCCACTGGGAGAAACAAGACATACACACAAAGAAACCAGGCAGTCAGACTGGAAACAGAGTAAAGACCACAAGTATTATGTGTCAATCCATCACTTAATCTTGCCATAGACCTGGGCAAGAGGGGTCTCTGCCCAAAGCCCCAACAATTTAAAGGCCCTGCTCTGGCTCTCCTCCAATCATATCTCTCCACAGAGCAAGGAGTCCATCGGGTCGAGCTCACCGGAGCCTGCACTGTCTCAGTATCCCTCTAGACCACACTCCAGTTACCCAGGACCCCAGAATTTCCTGTCCAAATGGCCCAAAGTCTACTTCCAGGTAATGTGTGGCCTCTTCCCTGGGTCTCTCCTACTGAATATAGGCCACACTGCTGGTGAGTGGATCCCTAGCTGGAACTTGGACATGTGGGCTGGGGTGTCCATATACATGCCATGAGGCCCCTTGTGGTGTGGAATGGAGCTGGGGATGGGAAAAGGAGTGGGCCAGTTTTTTCTGGAGCCCTGGTTGCACAGTGGTTAGGTGCTCAGCTGCTAGCCAGAAGGTTGGTGGTTCAAACCCACCAGCCACTTTGCCGGAGAAAGATGTGGCAGTCTGCTTCCATAAAGATTTACAGTGTTGCTGGGGAAGCCAGCACAACTTGTCCAAGGCAAGGTTACGGAAGCGCCATAGACACATCCAAACTTCCTGAGGGACTGAATTGCTGGGCGGAGGGCTGTGGGGACCATGGTCTTGGGGAATATCTAGCTCAATTGGCATAACATAGTTTATAAAAAAAAATGTTCTACATTCTACCTTGGTGAGTAGCGTCTGGGGTCTTAAAAGCCTGTAAGCAGCCATCTAAGATATTCCACTGGTCTCACCCCTTCAGGAGCAAGGGAGAATGAAGAAAACTAAAGACACAAGGGAAAGATTAGTCCAAAGACCTGATGAACCACAACTACCACAGCCTCCACCAGACTGAGTCCAGCACAACCAGATGGTGCCCGGCTACCACCACTGACTGCTCTGACAGGGATCACAACAGAGGGCCCCAGACAGAGCTGGAGAAAATGTAGAACAAAATTCTAACTCACAAAAAAAGACCAGACTCTCGGGGAACATCTAGCTCAACTGGCATGACAC